ATGCATGAATGCGATCTAAGATACAACCTAGTATGCACTATGCTATGAAAATGAGATGCCTCGAAGTGCGTGCACACGGACACGCAAACCGAGAAAATGACAGAATGCAATCTAAGATACAACCTAGTATGCACTAAGCTACGAAAATGAGGTGCCTCGAAGTGCGTGCACACGAACACGCAAACCGAGAAAATGACAGAATGCAATCTAAGATACAACCTAGTATACACTATGCTACGAAAATGAGGTGCCTCGAAATGCGTACACACGGGCACGCAAACCGAGAAAATGACAGAATGCAATTCTAAGATACAACCTAGTATGCACTATGCTACGAAAATGAGGTGCCTCGAAATGCGTGCACACGGGCACGCAAACCGAGGCAATGGCATACACAATGCGAATGATATGAAAATGTGATATGCGCTTATACCAACATGAGTGAGCCTCAGCCACACTCACATAGGATGCCGATGGCTGAAAATGAAGTGCCTCGAAATGCGTGCACATGGGCACGCAAACCGAGGCAATGACGGAACGTGATGCAATGGCATGAAAACATGATATGGGCTTATACCAACATGAGTGAGCCTCAGCCACACTCACATAGGATGCCGACGGATGAAAATGAAGTGCCTCGAAATGCGTGCACACGGGCACGCAAGGCGATGGCAAAATGCGATGCAATGACATGAAAACATGATATGGGCTTATACCAACATGAGTGAGCCTCAGCCACACTCATATAGGATGCTGGCGGATAAAAATGAAGTGCCTCGAAATGCGCGCACACGGGCACGCAAACCGAGGCGATGACAAAATGCGATGCAATGGCATGGAAACATGATATGGGCTTATACCAACATGAGTGAGTCTCAGCCACACTCATATAGGATGCCGGCGGATAAAAATGAAGTGCCTCGAAATACGCGCACACGGGCACGCAAACCGAGGCGATGGCAAAATGCGATGCAATGACATGAAAACATGATATGGGCTTATACCAACATGAGTGAGCCTCAGCCACACTCACATACAACACAACCCAAAGCTCCTACACATGCACATGCTCAAGGCCAACAAGCCCAAATACAAAGGAGCTATATCAAGCATGCCAAAATCAACCCAAACACTTAG